CGGCCGCCGAGCCCCGGGCTGCAGCGGCGGGGAGCGCGGACGGGCACCGGGCACCGGCACCTTCCACCGCCGGGGCATCCCCGGCCTCCGCCCCGCACCGCAGCGCCCGGGCCCGGCAGCCGCCCCATCCCCGTGGGACCCCGGCCGAGCCCGCACCCTGCTGCCGGGCACGCAAACCCAGCCTGGCATCCTTCAGCCGGGCACCCGCACCCTCCAGCCTTGGTACCAGCAGCACAAACGAGCCTGCACCCAAAACAAGCTGCTCCCTGCAGCCGGGCACTCAAATCCACCCCGCAGCCTGGCATCCAAAGGCAGCCGGGCACTCAGCAGCCTGGCCCTGCCCAGCAGCCTGCCCTCCCACCGGGGTGGTGCCCAGGCACGGCAGTGCCAGCAGAGCCGCCCCGCGCAGCCCCGGCCCCGCACGGTTCTGCCAGGCAAGCACCTCGAGGCTTTTGTTTCAGGGTGCTCCCAGCCCAAGGCAAAGCTTCTCCCCGACCTGGAGCAGAAATTTTGCTGCAGGTTTTTCCAGCAGGGGTGGGAGCACAGGCCTCAGCCTGGTTCATCCCTTGCAGGGTCTTGGCTGTGCCGGGGGATGCTTTGCTTTGTGTGAGCCTTGTTCAAGACATCATCTCCTGCCCACCAGCAGCAGCTGCGGCACAGCAGGTGCCCCACACGCCCTCACCAGCCCTGGAAATAACCCTTAATGAGCAGGAGGGGAAATGACCAGTCCCTCCTGATGGTACACATGTGCCTCAAAGGCACAAAGAGCCTGGTGCCCCCAGAGTGCTCAGCTGGTTAAATATTCATGACTGCCCCTTCCCCAGGACCCCTGAGAACAGCAGCAACTCCTCAGCCCGCAGAGCAATCAGACTGTTCGAGCAATCTCTAATGAAGATTAAAAATAATAGTCTAAAAACTCAATCCCAGAGTGCGGTCCTTTATTTATTTTAAAAAGATAATCCTCCTTTATTTTGCATTTGGTTTGCAAAACATTAAAAGCAGCCCTCACCAGAGCTTATTCTTAAACCAGTGGACACGCACTGAAGCCCAGCTGGGGCTGCTCTGTGACACCTGCCACCACCAGCCACCTGAGCCCTGCCCGCAGTGTCCCTGCCAGGGGACAAAATGCCACAGGGCCCCAGTGCTCAGTGATGAGGCACAGCTCTTCTGCTCCTCCTGCTCCTGCAGGTTTCTGCTGAGCCCTCTGCCTCAGCCACGGGCTGTGGTGCACAGTGGTCCCTTGGGAAAGGCACACACTCCACTGCAGCTGCAGGTCCTGCCAAGGCAGCAGTGAGGGGGTCCTGCAGCTGCAGGATCCCGCTGCCCTGTGAGGCTCCCAAGCTCCTGCTCCATCTCCACAGCAGCACTGAGTGGTGCCCAGCGGTGCCTGCTGCTGCCATGGATCACAGTCAAGCTCGCTGTCTCCATTTGCTCCACTCAGCCAAACCCTTGGGGCTGGGCACCCTTGTCCCCCCGCCCTCCCACCCCAGGGACACAGCCCCTCCTCAGACAGTGCATGCCAAGTGAACCCCAGGGTGGAAAGGCTGCAGGAGATGCCCTAGGAGATGACTGCTCCCTGGATGAGCTGCAGCAGCTGCTCTTCACGCAGGACCCTGGGCATGGGCACAGGGGAGCCCAGTGCTTCCCGCAGCTGGGTGAAGGTCCTGGGCCTCACCAGGTGCAGGCGCAGGGGCCCGATGCTGCCCTTGAAGCGGAAGGATTTGTAGGTGGGGAAATCCTCCTGGAGACACTGGTCCAGCTGTGAAGAGAGGGCAGCTGCCTGTGCTGGTCCCACACTGACACACCAGCTGTGTCCTTCAGCCACCCCACACAGCCCCAGAGCAGAGCTCATGTCCTGCTCACCTTGTAGCGCTGCCCCTCCGACAGGTCCCGCAGGCCCTGCAGCTCCATGAACACCTCGTAGTGGGGGGCACAGGGCCCCGAAGAGTCACCTGGAGCAGAACCACGAGTAGGTTAAAGCTGCCAGCTTCCTGTGCTGCAGCACAGGCTCCTTGCTGGCCAGGCAGGGCAGGAACTCACAGAAAGCCCAGTCAGGGCACAGCACAAATCAGGCCACTGGCTCCACTGGCCACAGGTTTACACCAAGCAGGGCTGGGCAGAGGCATCATGTGGCAATGTGAATTCCCCAGATCCCCCATCCTTGCCCACAGAAGCTTCACCCCTCTCCAAGGGGCAGAATTTTGCTGGTGCCAGGACTGAGCTGCAGCACAGGAAACCTGCAGACCCCCATGCAGTGCCAGCTACACTTTTAGGGGGACTTGGACAGCTCAGGGGAACTCACCCAGCAGGCTGCTCTCCACACAGACGTAGTCAATCAGGCGAGCACCCGGCCACATGGTCAGGGTGCGGCACAGGCTCTGGCAGAACTGCTCCTCAGGGATGCTCTCACCTCGCACGCTCAGTGTCTGGCTCTCCCTGCGGTGCAGGGACACAGGGTGGGTCACTGGCACCCTCCTGTTAAGACCTTGCCTGTAAATGGGCCCAGCTCCCTGAGGTGAGGGACAGGCATTGGGGTGTCCTCACCTGCGCACAGGTTCCACCACGGGACACTGCTTGTGGAAGCCAGTCACCTTCAGCACCTCCCCAGTACAGCACCTGCACGGGCAGGGGGAGTGTGAGGGGGACATGGGCGCATGGGGCTGGGGCAGGCAGCCCCCCAGGGCTACACAGCAGGGAGGAGGCACCTGTACTCTCCTGGCTGGGCTGTCACAACCAGCCTGTACTCGCGGCCCTCCCAGAGCTCATCCAGCAGCACGGTCCGTGGCTCCTTGCTGGCCAGGCAGGGCAGGAACTCACAGAAAGCCCAGTCAGGGCACAGCACAAATCAGGCCACTGGCTCCACTGGCCACAGGTTTACACCAAGCAGGGCTGGGCAGAGACAGCATATGGCAATGTGAGCTCCCCAGACCCCCCATCCTTGCCCACAGAAGCCTCACCCCTCTCCAAGGGGGAAATTTTGCTGGTGCCAGGAGTGAGGTGTTTTGAGGTCACAGGAAGGGAATGCAGCACAGAGATGCACCAGCATCTGCTGGGGCAGGGAGATCTGTGCTGCCATATGGCAGCAGTTCCCTGTGGGCACCCAGGGCAGGCCATGGGGACACGCCAGCGTAGGGACACTCACCTCCTGCTGCCTGGTAGAAGGGGCAGTAGAAGGGCAGCCCCTGGCAGTCAGCCTGGCGGAGGGAGTCGCAGTAGAGCCGCTCTGCACCATACATCGTCCTCACCACCACCACCTCCAGCCGTGGCCACAGGCGCAACGCGATGCCCTCGAAGCCGCGGGCACACTCAGCACGGAGCTCGGCTGCCCGGGCAACAGCAGGGGTCAGCAGTGCCTGCAGCTGGTCCCGCAACCCCTCGGGCAGCCCGGGCTGGGGGCTCAGCCTGCCCAGCTCCAGCTCCTGGGCCAGCCGGGGCCATTCAGCCCGCAGGGTCACCAGCGCATCGTGCAGCTCGGCTGCCAGCCCGGCCTCCAGCACACGCAGGGCACGCTGCCGCAGGGCAAAGAGCAGCTGCACCCGCAGCGCAGCGGCCCGCGAGGGCAGCACAGCCGCCGCGCACGGCGTGCAGTACAGGGTGGGCAGCGGCCACCCCGCCGGGGCGCGGGGACAGCCGGGGCTCCAGTGCAGCAGGGCCGTGCCCCGGCGGGCCAGTGCCCGCGGAAAGGCGGCGCCGAGGGCATCCAGGTAGAGCAGGGAGCCCTGCGGGGAAGGGTCGGGTCAGGAGGGCAGACCCTGCGGGGATCCGAGCCCACCCCGCCCGCCGCTCCCCGTACCTGCAGCCGGGGGTCGGTGTCCCAGCAGCCGGGGAGCAGAGCCCAGAGACGCAGCCGTGGAACCGGAACCCCCGACGCTTCGTCCCGACAGGGCTGCCCCAGGGGATGCCGCTCCTGGAACTCCTCCCATCCTGCCGGGAGAGGCACAAGTTGAGAAGGGCAACCACGGGACCGACCCCTTCTCGCCCCGCTTCCCGCAGCCCCGCGCTCACCGCCGGCCGTGCCGGTGCCCAGCAGGCACCGCAGCCGCCGCTCCTGTCTCAGTCGCACGCCGCTGTCCAGAGCCTCCAGCCGCCGCCGGTACCGGCGCCCGGCGCGCCGCAGCGCGGAACGGACTAAGCGGTGCCGTAGCGCGGGCACGGCCATGGCCACAGCCACAGCCACGGCCACGGCCACCACCGCCACCGCCACCGCCGGCAGCATCGCGGAATGCGGACACCGCCCCAGGGCACGGACCCGGCCCCGGACCCCCCTCACCCACCCGGCTATTCCGCCTCCGGCAGAAATGACGGAGATTTATCGCGCCCGGCGCCGCCCCCTCCCCGCTTCAGTTTTATTTTCATTTTCACCTTTCCACAGCACGCCCCGGGCCCCCCGCTCGGCGGGGAATTCAACCGCAATTGAACCCCCAGTACCAGCGCCCTCTACCCCTCCATGAAGAGTAAGCTCCCTCTTTGGAAAAACAGGGCAATTAATCCGGTTTACTTTACTTTTTGCCCGAAAAACGGCCCCAGCCCCTGCACCTCCCGCCCGGACAGAGCCCCAGGATCCGCCCAGCTTCTGCCAGCTGAGGCCCGACAACCCTGCCCTCGGGGACAGGAACCCCGAGCACCGGGCCCAGCCCCAGCATTCATCTGGTGCACCCAAGATGAGGAGCGCCCCAGAGGGACCCACCTCTGTCCCAAGACACACGTGGCACCCAGAGCTTTTGTGTTACAAAAATATTCCGTGCTTTATTTACTCTGTGATAGAAAAATAACATGGCCAGGACCCCAGAGTTTCCCGCCCAGGCGAGGGGAGAAGCAGCGGGCAGAGGGCTCCGCTTCCCCAAACCCCCTGCCCACCCGACTGCCCTCGCTGGGTGCCCTCGCACCCTGCCACCCTCATGCTGCACCGGCTCCAGAGGGGACACCGAGGCCGGGAGCCGGAGGGGCTCCTGCATCCTTGGGGGCAGAGGAGAAGATGAGGTGCAGGGACCCTGCCACTGTGGAGCAGAGCACCAGCACGGGCTGGGGGAGCCCTGGCAGAACCCTTCCTCTGCCCTCTGCCCTCACGCACCCCTGGGAACGGAGCCGCGGGGGAGAACAAGAAGGCGACATGTACATTCTTAGTGACGACTGCGAAAGCGAACCTGAGGCCGGGCGGGCGGCCCCCGCCCCAGCAGCCCCACGGGGGGTGAGGGGCTGCAGGGCCAGTGCTGGCAGAAGCGGAAAGCCGAAGCTGGGCCTCTTAAAAGGAACATACAGGAAAACCATGCGACAAATCCGCTGCCGTTTATACAAGGGCATAAACACCAAAGAGCTGGACGCCAGCCTGTGTTTCGGGGCAGCACAGAGCAAATCCTGGGGGCAGGGCCCACCCGCTGTCCCCTGGCACAGAGACACGAACACAGCACAGTCCCCGCAGCGCCGGGGCCAGGGGCAAGGGACCAGGCGCCTGCCTGTCACGACTGGGCGTGGGGGATCCACTGACTGTCCACGGGGCGCCGCAGCAGCTCCTCCACGTGCCTTGCCACATCCATCGTGTCTTCCAGGTCAAAATCACCCTCAGGGTCCAGCACAGGGTCGGGGCTGTGGGAGACAGGCGGTGAGGGGAGGACCAGCTGCAGCAGTACAGGGGTAGGGGCGTGATACTCACTTCTGGGTGTACATGTTGTAATGAGGCTGGGAGCAGACGGCAGGCGAGGGTGCCTGGTCCATGTAGGTGGCCCCTCCAGGGGCAGAATCTCCTGATGCGTTGACAAACCTGTGGGGAAGGGTCTCGTGAGCACTGGGTGCCCCACGGGTGAAGTCACCAAGATGTCTCACAAGGCTCAGCACCAGTGTGGCCATTGGTGGTGGACCTGAGCTCCTCAGTGTCCTGGGCTGCCACCCAACCCAGCCAATTCAATGGTCAACCACTGCCCAGGATCTGCCTTCAGGGTCACACTTACTCTGGCACCACTTGCTTGATCTGTGGCTTCACGTATCCATCCACAGCTTTAGCTAGAGAGAAGGAGGCAGCACTGAGGCCCCAAGCGCCAGCACATGCCACGACCCCGGGCAGTGCTGGGGGCTCACACGTGGCGCTGCAGAGCCCCTGTGGGGCCGGTGTGGCCCCGGGGCAGGGGGATGCTGACAACACCAGCTCCATCCTGGCTGGATGGACAAAAGAGGGGACACAGGTGGGGTGAAGGGACAGCGCTACCTGGCGTGGACTCACAGAGAACCGGCGTGTAGTACTTGGAGAACACCTCGTCCTTGGGCCGGTCGGGGAACACGTAGATGAGGTAACTGAGATCCCCGAGGCGGTCAGCCAAGGAGCGGATGGAGAAGTCCCTGGTGGTGAAAGGCATCAGGTTCCAGAACATCCTCTCAGCTGCAAGATAAGCATGAGGATCGTGGTGAATCTCGGAATTTGCAGTAGCTCCTGGCTGTGCTCTAGACGTGGGCTGCGAGGTCACATCAAGCAGCAAACAGCATGTCCCACAATGCATCCCTCCCCCAGCAACAGTTGAGCATAAAGCACAGGTTGCCAGAAAATGGGATAAGATAGGAGGCACAGCAAAGCCAAGGCAGGTCTGGCCTCATCCTGACATGTTCCCCCACCATGGGGCTTCATGGGGCTCTGTGGTGCTTCTCAGTCATGTGGCCCTCCAAAGGACGCTCTTGTGAACAGCAACAGACTTCTGCATGGGGTCAGACCACCCCTGACAACTGGGGAGCCTTGTAATGACACTGGGGAGCACCACCAAGTAACTGGATTTCATACAGTCCATATCATTCCCCAGGGCTGGGTTGGAGGGCTCAGCCTGGTTCCTCCTCCCCACTGCTGCCAGTGTTTGGGCCTGACACAGCCATGGCTGCAGTGAGCGAGGGCAGCACCACTCCTCACGGGACAGCTAAGGCATTCTGGGAGCTCTGGTGCTCGCCTCTTTCCTGAGGATGACTCCAGCATGCCTGCTGTGGCAGTGCCAGTACCCCAGGCATGAGGTGGTCTGGCTGGGGCCAGGGATACTGTGTCCAGGGATGCCAATGCCTGGCACACACTCACAGGAGTCAAACTTCCAGGCAATGGTGATGCCACCGATCTCCGAGTCGCTGAAGCGCAGGAGGAAGGTCCCGTCGGGCTTGTTGATGAGCAGGTCGTGCGCCTGCTGCTTGTTGACGAAGCCCAGGATGGCCCTAGGCAGAGTAGGGCGTCAGGGCTTGGGGCTCGGGCCAGGCTGCACAGGGCAGGGCGGCTCTTACCCGTCATTCCAGTGCGGCTTCAAATGCTTCTTCAGCACCTCCATGACCCCGTCAAACCACTGCCAGAAGGTGTAATTCCTCCCAGGCAGGTTTTCCTGTTGAAATCTCCAGATAATGAGCACTCCTGTCACTAGCCTCTGAGCCTCTGTTACACAGCACAGACATTGGGCACAGCAGCAGAGACTCAGGGACCCCTAGGTCAGTACACCCCATCCAGCCCCACAAGCATGAGCACTGGGGGGGCTCTGGGCAGAGCCCAGGCCACTTACCCGGTTGAACTGGGACCAGGACACTGTGGTGCTGCTGTAGTCCTCCAGGTGGGAGCTGGTGCTGTTGAAGAGCTTTTGTGCCAGAAACACCAGGTTCTCCTTGGTCAGCCCACGGCTGCTCTGCACCTCTGCCTTGAACTTCATGTTGAGCGCCTCGCAGAGCTGTGGCCACTGCACCTTGTCGGGCACAGCGAAGGGCACGCGGCCCTGGGGGCAGAGAGCATGGTCAGCAGCAGCTCTGCCTGATTTCCCACCATGAGGCTGAGCCCTACTCCCACATGGGGCAGATGGGGCCTGTCCTGCCCCCACGGCACTGGCACTCACAGGCTCGGCAAAGGCGTTGTCCCAAAGCACGGTGGCTGTGGCATTGTTGTCCTGGCTCCCATGCACAATCACCACCACAGGCAGGGACAGGGTCTGCCGAGAGGAAGGAGACCGGAATGGGCTGTGGGGCACCAAGGGAGCATCACCCACGGGCACCCATGTGGCCCCAGCCCAGCTCTACTCCTGTGGGCACAGTGCCCATGGCTTATCTAGGGCCTGCAGAAGGGACACAGTGGCTTTACCTTCACCTGGAAGACCAGCTCATTCCCACCGACACTGAACTGCGACTCAAAGAGGATGGTGAATTTCTCCTCTGTCACTGACTCAGCCCCGCGGCGATCCGAGCGCTTGATCCGCTTCAGGGACTGCAGGGACACCAGGGGTGAGCATGGAGGAATAGATGGGGACAACAGGGTGAACACAGAGGGACACAAGGGGACAGGACGGGGAACAGGGGCACTCACCATGTTGCGGAAGTGGGCGCTGAGTGTCCCAGTGGCCTGGTGATACTCCATCACACAGCAGTTGTTGAGGATTTCCCCGCTGCTCTCACTGCCACAGGAATGCACATGGAGTCAGGGCACACAAGGACCGGGAGCTGTGCAAAGTGCAGCCCTTCCCTTGCCCCACACCCTGCTCCCCACTGCCATGGCAGCCCCTGCCACACACCCCCAACCCCTGGCATTACTTGCGGGTGCTCTCATTCTTCAGCAGGGCCTTGGCTTGCTGCTCGCTGATGATGGTGGCCTTCACTTGGGGGGGGTTCATGTGCACATTCAGCTTCCCGCCCACCAGGAGCCTCACAGTGGCTGCAAACTTGGTCTGTGTCTTCAGCACTTGGGGGGGCTGCTTCTCGATGATGAAGGTGCTGGGGGGACAAGGGGATCAGGGGGGCTGCGAAGGGGGCAGGGCCAACCTGGCCCCCCATCCAGCTGGGCCCAACTTGTACCTGGTGACTAGGGCAGAGATGATGTCAGTGATGGTTCCGTTCAGCTCTGACAGCATCTCCTCCACTGGGCCTGGGATCGGCAGCTGCTGGCACAGGTGCTCGGCACGGCGGATCTGCTGCCGGTTCTGCCAGATGATCTCTGCCAGCTTCTCACACCTGGGGGGAGCAGGGCTCAGCACCCACTGGGCTCAGCATCCTGTCCCATCCCACCCCACCCCACCAGGCACTCACCAGGTCTGCAGCACATCCAAGGTGCCTTCAGGTGGGCCCCCATTCCCCGCCAGCTGCTGCCGACGCTTCCACTGGATCAGCTCATCATCCAGGATGGTTGTTTGCTGCTTGCGCAGCAGCTGCAGCGTCTTCTGGTGCTTCTCAGCCAGGTCCTGTGAGGTGGGACAACATCAGGGGTGCAGGGACAGTGTCACAGGGCATCGTGGGGACATCATCACGAGGAGCCAGGTGGCATCACTCACCACACGGTACTGCTGTAGTGTCTGGGCCTCACGGTGCAGCCAGGCCTCCAGCGATGCCTTCTTCTGCTGCAGCGTCGTCTCCCGTGACATGCGCTCCTGGGGGCCCAGCTGGGAGAGCTGGGAGAACTGGGCTGGGGACAGGGCATGGTGTTAGAGCTGGCCATGCCAGCACCCCAGGCCCATGCCCCTCAGCCCCCCACTCACCTTGGAGTCGCATGTTCTCTTGGTACTGGATGATGAAGTATTCCTGTGTCTGCTGCAGCTTTTTGAGCTCATTCTCCGAGTCCTGAGTGATGAGCCGCAGCTCCTCAAAGGTCTGGTTGATCTGCAGGTGCTTCTGGGACATGGCGTCCACCAGGGAGCCAGATGGGGAAGGGCTCTGCACAGGACACAGGGTGAGCTCAGCACAGCGAGAGGACCCTCCCCATTCCTGCCTCAGGGCTGCTCCCATCATCATGGAGAAGAGCCCCTGAGCATCCCCCCACCCTGTCCCTCTCTCACCCCTCCCAGCCCACACTCACGTTGTTCGCCTCCCGCACCAGCCGCTGCTCGTGGTACAGGATGTGCCGGATGCAGCGCACCAGCTCCATGGGGCATCGGTCATACGTGTTCTGTGGGGAGAGCACTGCCTGAGCCAGGCACAGGGCAGGGACCCCCCTGGCCTTGCACCCCTGCCCACAGCCCCCCACTCGCCTGCAGCTGCGTGGCGTAGTGCCCCAGCTTGATCTTCAGCAGGAAGCCGTCCTCACCCACTTGGTGGTCTGCCTTCTTCTGCAGCTCCTGGATCAGCCCCTCCAGAAGCTGTGTCGCCTTCACATTCTCCTGGGGGTTGTCAAGGTCGATAGAGTCCCTGCATGCAGAGCAGAGAGGTGTCAGGGCACCTGTACCCCGGGGCAGCCGCAGCACCCCCTGGGAAGGGCACACCCTGACCTACCATGCCTGGCTCTCGATCCACTGCGACAGGTAATGCCGCACCTCGATGGGGAAGTGCTGCCCATAGAGCGCCTGCATCTGCCGCAGGGCTTCGCCCTGGAGCTGCTGGGCCTGGATCCACACCGCCATGGTTCAGCACCTGCGGGAGACACACTGTCAGGGAGACACACTGTCTCAGCTCCAGCAGGAGACAGGCAGGCACTGTGCTCCAAGGGGTCTGGCCCCCGCTGTACCTACACCCTCGGCAGGAGTGCCCGGAGTCCCTGGTGCTGCCAGCGCTGTCTCCAGCTGCTGAAAGAAAGGGCATGCGGGGGCAGTGGACCCTGACTCTGAGTCACCCCCTCTTTTCTAGGAACAGCCCTGGGGGTGCCCAGGGCCAGGGACGTGCCTCTGCATGGCCTCTCCACATGGTTCTCATTTCCCCTCACTGCACCACGGGATCGCAGCCATCGCAGGCCACGCGAATGAGGAAACAGGCCAGGGGGAGGAAGGGCTGCCCAGAAATCCAGGGTGACGCAGAGCAGAGGCCCCCCCTGCGTTCACCCCGCTCCTGCCCACACCCTGGCAGCGCCAGCAGGCAGGAACAGCCCCAGCCCCAAGAGCCCACGTGGCACCACAGTCCCTGACAAGTCCCCAGTGCCAGGGCCGCTGTGTACCCCATGTCCTGCTGGAGACACATGGACCTTCCCAAAGCAGTTTTAGGGTGGCTCTGGCTCCATGCAGGGATTCCACCCACCACACAGCCTTGGCTCCCCGAGGGGCAGGCAGGGATGAGACAGTGGTGACAGCACCTCTACTAAAATCCAGTGTGTCCCCTGCATCACCTGTGGCTAGAGGGGGCTGGAGAAACAGCCTGCAGCTGGCTGTGTGAGGGTGATGTGACAGTGAGTGACACAGGAGGGTCTGAGGGGGCTCAAGGTCCCCCCTGAGTGAGGAGGCAGCAGTACAGTAAACAGCATTTAGATACACTCACACTCTATCCACCTGGGATTTGGCACCACACAGAGGGGCCAGGCAGGGGCACAAGGCCTTGGATGTGTCCCAAGGCCAGGTGACCAAGCCAGAACCTGATCACTGCAACGGCTGGTGACAAGCAGAGGGGCTGAGCCAGTGGGGACTGTGCTTCCCCCCCTCCCTGAAGCATTTTGTTCGGCCTCAGAAATACCCAGTGGCCCACAGGGCTCCAAAAGAGCTGGTGCTGTCATACAGTCAGGGGCACATGCTGGGGGACAGTGGCAGCAGGTCCGAGTGGAGCAGCCACAGCCGGAGCCCCTGAGCCACGCACACCCGCCCCTGAACAGGAAGAGGAACAATAACCCAGAGCTGGCTAAAAATGAATTTTTCCTCTATAAAAAGGGAGGAACGTTTCCACATTCACAGAAATCACCAAGCTGGAAATGCTGCTGGCAAGGAGGGGCCTGGGAAGGCAGAAGAACGCCAGCAAGGAGGAAAGGGAAGGTGGGATGGCTGACAGCAGGACATGCTGCTGTTGGAAATTGTGGACGCTTGATAAGGGGCAGAGTCAAGAACAGCCATGCCAGTGCCACTGCACCACAAAGTGACCGAAGTCCCCAGAACTGTGGGGACATCTGCACGGACACAGAGCAAACAGACACTGCCCTGCCTGTTGATAAAATGGTGATCTCTTCCCATCTCACAGTGCAAAACACTTCCTACTCCACTCTAGCATGTTGTTAAGCAACGAGTCTCTGGCTGCTCTGTGGTGAGCTGGCAGGCACTGCATTCGGCCAGTGCCAGCCTGGGAGCAGGAGCACCAGCACCACATGTGCCTCTACAAGGGGCTGTGCAGTGACTGACAGTGGCAGAGCTCACCTGGTGTGTGCCCCAAAACACCATTTGCACCAGGCTTGAGCACCACCTCCACAGACATTGTCAATGCAGAAGGACATGCAATTTCCCTGGGAGAAATTTGTCTCATTTTTGTCTCCATGCCCCACCTGTGGGCAAACCAAACTTCACCATGGGCTGCAGGGTACCTTGACCACCCCAGCACAAGCAACCAGTGCCATGGGAAGACTTTTGGCCGTGAGACTCAGCACCGCTGGGGCAGCAACTCTGTGTCAGCATAAGCTGCAGCACCATGATCCCACTGTGGTCCCTTTCAAGGCAGCCCTGCTCCTGCACCTGGCTGCTGCTGGCAGCCACTGCCCTGGCCTGGACCATACCTAACATCACTTTCCAGCATCACACTCCTCGGTGGCACCAGCAGCTGCCCGAGAGATGGGAGCCCAGGGACAGATCCACCCCCATGTCCAGGGACATTCACCCACCCCAATGCCACCTCCAGCCCCAGCAGGGCCACTGCAGCCTCAAGCACTGGCGTGGATCAGCTACGCACGGCAGCCACCGGCTCCATGCGCACTCCAACAACTGCAAGAGGCAGATAATTGTAGTGGTTTAGGCTACTTTGCATTTACTCACTGGCAGCGAGCTGGAACCCACCCGTCACTGCAGCTCGGTTAACCAGCAGCACTCGACAAGCCACAGCGACGTGCTCACCAGACTTATTGCCTGTGAAGGGGCGCAGGCAGCAGCTTCCCGGGGCAGGACCACTGCTGAGGACAGACTTGAGAGCTGTAGAGAGGGACCCCAGCAACACAGGGACAGAGGAGAGAGAGGGGAACCAGCAGACATCATTTCTGCCTCTTATGGCCTCACTGCCCACTGCTGACAGGGAAGCACTGCCAAACCCAATGCAAAACAGGAGAAACCCACTCAAAAAGGGCGCTCAGAAGGCCAGAGGTAGCAGCGAGGGAAGGGGAAGACAGGGAAGGTGGCAGCTCTGCTGGGCCTGGAGGCAACCAGGGGACTGACATGATCACACTGGGAAAGGGTTGCAGGCACAGTGGCAGCAGGCACCAGCAAGTCCCCAGCTGCAGGAGAGCCAGAGCACATCCGTGGGCAGACAAAAGGAGGGAAATGCCTCACAGGATGAGGACGGCAGCAGCAGCTTCCCACATGCCATGAGCACGGCAAAACCCAAACACAAGCAGCAGCTACCCCGGGGCCAGAGCATGCTCTGCACGGGATGCTCACTGCAATCTGCCGCGGGACGCTCCCTGCACTGAGCCAGTCCCAAGACCTCCTCGTGAGCAGGACACCCCTGCCGTGCTGCTGGCACAGCCCCCGACCGCAGCCTCTTGCCCAGACCCGTGCCGTGAAGGGCCAGGCAGGGGCCAAGGGCTAGCCAAAGGCCTGGGGGGACCACTGGGCTCTGGCTATAACCCTCCACCCCACTCCCTCGACCCACGCAGTCCCTCGGCTCCCGCACTGCCCTTCGCCCGGTGCTCTGGCAGCCCGGGGGTCTCCGGAGCGGTGTCTTCCCGGGGCAGGGGCGCGGCGCTGGGCTCCGGCGGCAGCGGCCCTGCGCCCGCCGCGCCTCCCGCCGCAGTAAACACGGACACGTGGTTTCTCGGCACCTCCGGGAACCCGCGATCGCTTCCAGGTCAGAGCCGGCCCCGCTTGTGGCCGCAGGGCCGGACCCTGCACCCTACGGTGGTGCCGCCGAGGGGCTCCGGTGCTGCCGCAGCCAGCGCTGCCGCTGCCCCCGGCAGGCCCGGCGGGAAGCTGTCCTGCAGCCCTCCGAGGTGGGCGGCTCCAAGCAAGATCCCTTCAGGGCAGGATCCGGCCCCCAGACGGGCCCCGGACACGGTGGAGGTGACAGCCGGGAGCGGGCGCTCGGCACAGCGGAGGGCTCCGGTTACCCACACATACACAGCCACCCCTCCGCCCTCAGCGGGCCCCTGCCCGCACCAGCTCACCGCAGGGCCCCGCTGGAGCCTGGTGTGCAGTGCCCGGTCCTGCAGCCGCCCTCACCGCGCTCAGGCCCCGCTGGAGCCTGGTGTGCAGTGCCCGGTCCTGCAGCCGCCCTCACCGCGCTCAGGCCCCGCTCTGCCCCCGCGCCGCTCTGGCGTCCGGCCCCAGGACAGCCCGGCTACGGCTCGGGGCGGGCACAGCCGGGCTCCCGGGCGGCCGTTTCGCTGGCTGCGCACTACAGGAAGGAGCAGAGAGCAGCTATTTCCTTCCAAAATGTCAGGTGCCTGCGCGGGACAGCCTGCCCCCGAGAGCTGGCAGCCACCTCTGCCACGGCTGCCGGCGGGGCGGCACACTCTGCCCCTCGGCCCCTCACACCGCTCCGGTGCCAGAGCAGGCACAGCCTCTGTCCTCAGCCGGCACTGAGCTCCGTGGCTGGCTGGGGAGCCAGGGAGGGACCCCAGGGAGCCATGCAGGATTTCGGCAATGGGGGGAGACGGGACCCCCTGACCTGCACGCCCAGCTTTGCTCACGGCCCTGGAGCAGAGCCTGCAGCGGGAGCGCCGGGTGATGGTGAGCAGCCCCCAGCCCTGCTCAGAGCTGCGGCACCGACGCACTGTGGAGCCGGCACAGAGGCCAAGGGCTGCTCGCATGTTTTAAACCAGCCTGTGGTTTCCAGCTCTGCCTGAGAGGTGGCAGTGCCCACGGGCTCGGGAGCGAGCTCCTTCTAGAAGCTCCGTGCTTTGATGGGGTTTGTTTGTCTCCCACAGAAAGTGGCTGCAACTGATGGCTTCGCCCTGGTGGCATCGGGGAGGAGGCAGCTGAACCACTCAGCCCACACTGGAAACATCTGTACCATGACACTCATGAAAGAGGCATGGCTGGCTCTGGTAACCCAACGTGCCCTCCCAAGAGCACAGGCGACAAGCCCCACAGCAGCAGAGTAGGTAGGCAGAGGTGGAACTAGTAGCACCAGGACTGTCCAAGTGTCCCAGCAACTCTGAGAGCCAAAAGCAGAGAATTCACACCGTGAATTGCACCACATGCATGACCTGATGCTGCCCAGGGGGGACACCAGTCCCACACAGGCAGAGATGCCCCAGGTGGGGACTGGTGCCAGGGGCATCAGTGCTGGGGACTGCTGACAGCTCATCTTGCACCACGGGCCAAGCTCTCTGCCTGCCAGCATTTGCCACCCTTGGGAAAGGTTTTCCTCCTCACTTCAGATTTCTTCCAATCAGAGAAGCCCAGAAACCTGCGTCAAACCAAAACCACCAAAATACCCAGCAAAATCCCTTGAATCCAATGGCTGGAACCTCGACAAAACCTCAGTGCACCAAGAGGCACCCTGGGGCAGGCACAGCCAGATACAGGCACTGCCCAGGCACCAGTGGGATTCCTTCAGACACTGAGCAGGCAGCAGGACCAGCACTGCTGGGCAGGACACATGGTCCTGCAGAGCCCAGTGCCCAGCCAGCCCCATGGGCATGAGTCCTGCAGGACATCCACCGTGGGGAGCCCAGTCCCTGCCAGCACTGGTGCTGCCCCCGCCACAAACCCCCAGACAGGATTAGAGAGGCTGGGCAGAGCTTTAATTACTCCTGGCTCCCTGGGGCCAAGCAGCTGAATTAACTAGCTTTGGGGCTGGCACAGCAGGGAGTTGCCAGCTCAGAGTTCTGGAGCTTCCCCTGGCTTGGTGGGGGAATCCCATGGCAGGCACAAAGCCACTGACCACCTGCAGCATCCCAGACTCTGGCCTTGCCCGGGCAGGGACGTGCAGCTGCCCCATGCCAGGACACTCAAGGAAGGGATTTTCCCTCCACACTAATAATGCCCAACCCCAAATCCCTGTGATGCCACGCTGAGGGCACAGCCCTGGGGTCCCACAGGTTCTGTGGCAGCCTCCTGCACCGAGGCCAAATCCATCACAGCCCCTGGCTCGGTGCTAATCCCTGCTCAGACCTGCGCCAGCCCAGGAGGGACAGGCCGGGCGAAGGACCTGAGGATTAAACTCATTTCAGCATCGAATTAGTCCCGATTGGGGTCTGGAGACACAATTTCATTTTCTCTGCCATGCTCCAGTGAGCTCACACAATGGCACTAATCCACCCACAGCCAGACTGGATTTGCTGGGCAGGACCCAGGTGGGCACCAACGGCACTGCTCTGGCTGCATCCATCCCCTCAGATCAGTGCCATGCTCCAGCTCTCCTTGGGACTGGGGACATGGTGCAGGAGCCTCCTCACCCCTGGCCTGGCATGGCTGTCCTGTAGGGCCAGCCTGGCTGGCACAGCAGAAGCTTTTGGATGTGTGGTGAGCAGGGAGAGCCAGAGGGACACCAGAGCAGCTCCTGCATCCCCCCACTGCACTCCCAGAGTTCATCCCCAGGAGCTGCAGCAGCTCTGCACACAGAAATGCTCTTGCACCACGTCAGCAGAGCAGGATGGAGAGGAGTATAGCCTTGCCTTTGGAAGAGGAGATACACAGACATCCAGGGATGCTGGCAGGAGGGGGGACTAGTCAGACAGAGAATAAAACAACCAACGTCAGTGGTTTGTGCAGCAAAATCCTCAGTCAAATCAAGAGAGGGGTGAAGAACAGCGTGCATCCATACACACACAAATACATCCAGGTGGGTTTTGGCTTTCCTGGCCCTGGGATGGGCTTTCCAGCCCCTGAAGCAGCAGCAGAGCTCCTGCCCCTGAGCTGCACCATAAGCCTCACCACAGCATCTCCACAAGCAGAACCAGAGAAGCTGCACCCCTGGGCCCACAGCCCAACAGCACCACGGTCGAGTATTCACACCAGAGAGGACAAAGATCATTTTTCAGTGGTTCCAGCTGGTGCAGGGACTCAGAACTGCCAGCAAGAGCAGCCTCTTCCTCTGCTAAAGGCTTTGCAGGGCCACTGAGTGATAGGGACAAGAGGCCGCACAGAATGAGCACCCAGCACATGGTGGGCAGGGCTGGGTCGCTGCTCTGGCTCTTTGAGGCAGTGGCTCTCCAGCACCACCCTTTTCCCCAGTTCCCTCCCCAGCAGAGCTGTGCTATAAACCAGCTCATAACACAAAGTTACACTGAAAGTGGAGATTGCAAAACTCACCAGTGACTGTTCGAACCGGGAATGGGTTGTGACTGTGCTGTGGTTCAGCTATGCTGCTGTGGCTGTCCCAGCTCGGCGGCACATCATTCCTGATACAGTGGGAAGCAGGACCCAGCACTCAGGGAAGCACTGAGTGCCTGCGTGCAGCCTGTGCTCCTGGCCCCTCTGGTGCAGCCAGATGGGTGGATTCTGCTTTATCAGCAAGTCAGCTCAGCCCTATCGGCCAGGAAGCCGTGTTCACAGTGTGCCTCCCCCTCGACGTTTCTCAACGCGGCGGGAGCAGCGACGTGCAGCAGCCTACCTTTTATCAGCCAGCAGATGTTGCTAGAACTGTTGCTGCATGTGAAATTCAGGCATGCCCAGCACCACTTGGATCCCTGCACCAGCCATGCGGTGCCAGGGTAAACACCCCCGCCCCCTTCCTCCCGGGATCAAAACACTTGGGGGTTGCAAAATAGACACCCCATGAAAGGAAAGGCATGCCACAGAAACATTACAGCTGTCGAGGCTACTTCTCCCGGAGCGTGCCGGAGCCCCGGAGCCAGCACGGCCTCCCAGGCTGGAGCTGCCTGCATGGCTGCAGAGCCGAGTCCTGATCCGTGCTGGCAAGGTGGGCACTCCAACCCTAACCCTAACCCTAGCCATGCCCTGGCTTCCCTGCAGTTGCTGCTTCGAGGGCAGCACTCACAGTGTGTGGGACACTGGCAGTGACTGCAGCCGGGCAGGCAGAGAGATGCTGCCACCAGAGCAGGTACCCAGGGGATGCTGATGGCAGGAAGGTCCCATTCACCCTGCCTGCATTCCCACTGGCATCCCCGGGCTGCCGTGAAGCCTGTTGAGTGTGACCCACCTTACAGTCATTCCTTGCAAACTAGAAAGTAATTTCCCGGCTGATGGGGCCACTTCAGTGTACTCGGCCCAAAGCAGTCGCCACTCGCCGCCCACGGCGTCGCAGAGTGCAGGGAGCAGGGATTTTTTACAAGCAGGGTATCTGAGTTTTGCTATCACTCGAGAGAGAGCTGGGAAACCCCATGGCAAAGCCTTCACAGTCACTTTGGAGTCAGCACTTCCCCTACAGCGAGAGGGGAAGGTCCCTCCAGAGGCTCTGTGTGCCCTGTGCTGAGCATCCCCAGCTGCAGCTCCCTGTATGGTGAGAGCATCCCTAACCCTGCCCCAAAGCATTGGCCCTGGCACAAGGCAGGTGCAGCAGACCCAGTGAAGGTGGCTCTAGTGACAACTGTAGGGACCCAACACCCCCAAAGCAGGGCACTGTCAAAGTGCCACAAAACACAGAGTGGGTGACAGCCACCTGTCACGCCCTGCTCCCAGCCCAGCTCTCCCATGTCCTGCACACAGGCTGTTGGCACCTCTCAGCCCACCCCAGAACTCCTCCT